GATTACAGGCATGAGCCACAGTTCCCGGCTTAACTAGGTGGAATTTAAAAGCACATGTTTTTGAAAAATCGTTAAACTGTGTGCGCAGATTCTGTCACGTGCATCCCTGTGAAGAGACCACCAAACAGGCTTTGTGTGAGCAATAGAGCTGTTTATTTCACCTGGGTGCAGGCAGGCTGAGTCAGAAAAAGGAGTCAGCAAAGGGAGTTAGGGGTGGGGCAGTTTTATAGGATTTGGGTAGTAGTGAAAAATTACAAAGAGGGTTGTTCTCTGGAGGGCAGGGGCAGGGGTCACAAGATACTCAGTGGGGGAGCTTCTGAGCCAGGAGAAGGAAGTTCACAAGGTAATGTCATCAGTTAAGGCAGGAAGGAACTGGCCATTTGCACTTCTTTTGTGATTCTTCAGTTGCTTCAGGCCATCTGGATATATACCTGTAGGCTTGGGCTCAGAGGCCCAATTGAGTATAAACTTACACTTTAAAGTGTTTAGGATCATGAAGTCAAATTGTCTTAACAGTGATACTGTATGTTTCTAAAGCAAATCTCAGTTTGCAAAGCATTTCCACATTCATCCACCTGTACTATCTAGTTTTGCCCCTGAAAATAACTTTCTGAAGAAATAGTTCAAATGTTATTCCCTCTTAGCAGCTGGGGGACCAAGGTTCAGGAAGTCATCTCCTTAGTCATGTAGCTACAAGGTACTAACACTGACACTTGAACCTTGGATTTCTGCCTTCAACTTCTCTAGTCTTTTACGTTTATACTCCTTTACTCTCAGTGGACAAACAATGTAAAATTAAATCAGAGTTCTAGAAGGTCAATTTTTTGGTATGTATTAAGTATCTTATAAAAATACACAGTGAAATAGTGAAAATACTTTAAATATATTTGAATATTTTGGAAAATTACTTATAATGGCAAAATAGAAAACAAATAATTGCTAATAGTAAGAGTGGTTAAAGGTGTGATAGATTCATAAGATAAAATATTATGACCATTAAAAATTGTATTTCAGCTAGAAAAATTCTCACAGCATAATCAAATTAGGATACAGAATTATGTAAAGTATAATTTTAACTAAGTTTAAAAATAGATGCACTTATAGATGAAATACTGGAATAATGTTAATAGATTTAACAATTTCTGGGTGATGAGTTTTTTTAATACTTTTCTATTTTCTCACAGTTTTCTCTGAGAGTGTGAATACTCTGTAAGCTGGAAAAAAGTTATTAAAAGTTTTTTACTGATAATTGTGTGAGGATGAGGCTGATTGTCTTTATTCCTAAATATTTGTGTATTAATAATTGTTAGATTTTTATAGCATTTTCATATATTTTTTTAAAACACATGCATTTTGATCATTTAAACAGGTTTACTAGAAACCAACAAAGGATTTTGGAGCAAAATAACCAGAAGGAAGCCACCAGTGTAAGTGATTAGAAACGTTATAAAATAAACAATTGAACATTTTGTGAATTACAGTAAGAAGCAAGGTTTACCTAAAACAAGTCTTAAAAAGAGAGAGATATGCATTGATAATTTGGAGTGGTTTTAATGGTATAGATTACTTGCCTTAATAACTTAATGTTATTAAGTTAATGTTAATGTTAAACTGTTAATGTAATGTAATGTAAAGTTAATGTTATTAAGTTATTAATAAGAAGCAGGAACCTATGTAGGTGGTTAAGATGGGATTCATACTAATGTTGCCCATTGGTTGAATGGAGAATTCTTCCTTAAAATGCATCCAAATAGGATCCTCCCCTCAACAAAGGAGAAAGTATGGGGAGAAAGCTATGATAAACTACATGACACTTTTTTCTTCTTTTTTTTTTTTTGCTTTGTTTTCAGACTACCAGTGAGCCTTCTGCCCCATCTCAAGATCTCCTCGACCTAAGTCCCAGTCCCCGGATGCCTAGGGACACTTTGGGAGAACTCAACACCATGAATAATCAACTTTCAGACTTAAGTAAATAAACACTCAGGTCTTTTCAGACCAGCAGAAGAGCTTGATGTGAAACAGTTCTCCTTAATTACATGATTAAATACCACCTAAGAAGGACTGAAGACAGTTTGAATGTCAGAGCACTATGTTAGGAGATGTGATTACTTCCTGACAAATGGTTGAGTCAAACCTGGTATAGCAATGGGATGTGTCTGGGGGAGGAGGTCCTTGAAACTCATCCTACTCACTTAGAATTTCATGGAATTCACCTGGCCTGCTTTGTAGAGGCTTTTCAGCCCAGTGGCCAATACTTAAAGTCTACTCTGAACCTACACACTATTATCATTGGGCTCTTCTGCTACACCTCAGCATCAGGTAAGGGAGTATCTCTGATGCAAGCGGAGAAATTTAGAAATTACAAGGTATGAACCAAGTGGTTGTGAAATGAAGAAGGAAAAACACAGGCTTTAAAGTCAGAAAAGTCCAAGTTGAAATGCCAGTTCTGCACCTCTCAGCCACCTAACCTTTAAGACTCTCACTTTATAAAATGGGAACAATGATTGCCTTAAAGGGTGGTTGTCAAGATTAACAAACTAATGTTTATAAAATGCATTGTAAGCTTTGTTACAGCTCTCCAAGTTGTGATGTAAGCTCTGCTACAATGCATTTTATAAACATTTATAAAAGAGTTACCTATCTTACCTAACTTGTTATCTTCTGCTGTCCTTATTCCCAACAAGGGTTTGGTAAATTACAAAATAAGGATGATGAAAAATGCTGAAATCCAGTTTTGCCAAATTAAAAGCAGTTTGTTTTTCTCCTATGTCATCTGCTGTTTCCAGAGTAAAAACACTCAGTATCACTGAATTTGTGGTTTTCTTAGATCTCTACCCAGTTCTAAAATGTTGGCTATTTGTTTATGTAGGCTAGTGGGATGTGTAGAGTCAGTTACATTGGAGAGTTTTCCTGAGTTTTTAATAGAGAATTTTCAGAGGGGAAAGTAATTATTCCCTTTGGGGTATCTCACTTAAGATTATGGCCTGGAGGCCAGGCATGGTGGTTCACACCTGTAATCCCAGTATTTTGGGAGGCCGAGTCAGGTGGATCACCTGAGGTCAGGAGTTCGAGACCAGCCTGGCCAACATGGCAAACCCCCCCCTTTACTAAAAATACAAAAATTAGCCGGGAGTGGTGGTGGGCACCTATAATTCCAGCTACTCAGGAGGCTGAGGCAGAAGAATCACTTGAACCCAGGAGGTGGAGGTTGTGGTGAGCCGAGAACATGCCACTGAACTCCAGTCTGGGTGACAAAGTGAAACTCCATCTCAAAAAAAAAAAAAAAAAAGATTATGGACTGGAGCTTGAGGTGAAGGTAGAGCTCAGTATGTACTATAACTTTTTACTTTTGTGCTGGGCAGAACAAGATATAAAATCCTTTCCATTCTGGATCAGCTTAGGATTTTAGAAAATCCAATACAATAATATTTCTTACCCTTACAACAACTTCTTCTCGTGGCAGGGAAATTCTTTCTCTCTCTACCTACCATAAATGATGCTTTTTAATTTCTCTTAGAGCTAGGAAATCTCATGATTTTATGGTGACAGAAATATCTAAATTAATCTCTTTTATTTGGTGGGTTTTTCTTTTTTTTTTTTTTTTCTTTTTTCTTTTTGTTTTTACTGTAGAAAATCCAGCGTAATAACTGACTGACAAAATGTTTTAAAGCCAAACAAGTCCATTTTGTGTTTTAGATTTCAGCTCTCCAAGTTCTGATGTAGCAAACAACTTAAAACCCAGTCTTCATCCACAGATGGACTTGCTAGCCTTGGAGAATACAGAAATACCCCTGTAAGTATGTCAGTAACACTGCAGAACTAATATGATATTTGGATTCCTTACAATTAAGAAAACCTGATGGCTGGGCGCAGTGACTTACATCTGTAATCCTAGCACTTTGGGAGGCCAAGGCACATGGATCACTTGAGCCCAGGAGTTTGAGACCAGGCTGGGCAACACGGTAAAACCTCATCTCTAGTAAAAATATAAAAATTAGTTGGGCATGGTGGCATATGCCTATAATTCTAACTACTTGGGAGGCTGATGCATGAGAATCACTTGAATCTAGGCGGTAGAGGTTGCAGTGCAGTGCAGATTGCACCATTGCACTTCAGCCTGAGTGACAGAGCAAGACCCTGTCTCAAAAAAAAAAAAAAGAAAAAACATGATAAAATAGCAAAAAATAGAGACTTAAGAATCAGACAGTCCTGAATTAGAATCTCAGCACTACTTCCTGCTAGCCATATAACCTAGATGAGTTATTTAGCCACTGTAAATGTTCATTTTTCTTCTAAGAATATTTTCTAGGATTCTTACAAAGATTCAGTGAGATGCTATATGCAAAACTCCTAATATAGCACTTGGTACATAGTAAGCCTTCAATAAATTGTCCCTTTCTGTTATTTTTAGTGGTAACAGGAGATGGGGAAGAACGGGAAATACAATAATAAAGGAGGCAGAAAAGCAATGAGGTTCAAAATTAGAAGTAATGGCCCCATCAGTTACAGGGCACTTGCTGTGTGGCAGGCACTCAGTTAAGCTAGTTTTGTTTATTTCATCTAATCTTCACTAAAGTATTTAGGTCAGTGATGTTAGGTCAGGGTCTTGCTCTGTCACTCAGGCTGGAGTACAGTGGTGCCATCATAACTCACTGCAGCCTCAAAATCCTGGGCCCAAGGGATACTCCCACCTTAGCCTCTTAATAGCTGGGACTACAGGTGTGCACCACCATACTGGGCTAGGCTCATTTTTAATTTTTTTTGTAGAGATGCGGTCTCGCTTTGTTGCCCAAGCTGGTCTTGAACTCTAGGCCTCAGGTGATCCTCCCGCCTTGGCCTCCTAAAGTGAGCCACTGCACCGGCCTGTTATCATTATTCCCATCATACACGAAAAGAGACTGCGACTTCTTGGTCATTTCTCTATTGAAGGAACTAGAACTTGCCCAAGTTTGTATGGCCAGTAAGTAGCAAGTCTGATGGACTGATAGTCCAGTATTAAACTTGGACTAATAAAACCTGATAGAGTAGCTGGAACCTCCTGAGTAGCTGGAATTAGAGGCGTATGCGACAATGCCCTACTAATTTTTGTGTGTTTTTAGTAGAGATGAGGTTTCACCATGTTGCCCAGGCTATTCTCAAACACCTGGGCTCAAGCGATCCAGGTGCCTCGGCCTCCCACAGTGCTAGGATTACAAGATGTGAGCCACTGCGTCCAGCCATCAGGTTTTCTGATAGTACAGTATTAAAAAGAAATATTAATGACCTATAAACATAGGCAATGATGTTCAACTTTACTTATAGAGAAATGTAAATTAAAGTCTAATAAGAAATCGTTTTCTACTTCTCAGGGTGGCAAAAGTACCAATATTTCATAACATACTTTGTTGGCTATGGAAAGACAGTTACTATGACAAAATTTATGTAACTCTTCTAGGGGCAAGTGGCAATATCTATTAAAATTATAAATGCATTTATTTCTTTCAATCTGTAATCTTATGTGTATAAATTTTTACCACACTTATACAGAGTTAGGTGTTTACAAGATTATTCTTTACAATGTTTTGGGCAATAGCAAGTAATTGGAAACAACTCAAGTATCCATCAGTTGGGGACTGTTAAACATCTGTACAACATATTACTATATAGCTGGGGGATAAAATAATCACCAATATATTTATTGCTAAGTAGGAAAAAAAAGGTGCTAAGTAGTGTGTGTGTAATATATTGCATTTGTGTAAGAAAGTTGTAAATAAGAATATATATTAATATTTGCCTCTATTCACATAAAGAAACAAGAATGATACAGGAAGGAAAATAATGAAAAAGAGTGAAAGAGTGGTTATGTAAGTTCCAGAAGAGGCAGGATAGAATAAATAGCAGTTGAATTTGCCTTATGCCAATGTCAATAGCTTTTTTCCTTTTAAGTGTATACATTTTAGATAATAGGCAATACATTTTCATTATTCAGATATCAAAACAATATAAAAAGTTGTATAAGACAATTCTTGTTCTCATTCCCTCTTCATCCTCCCTCTTTCCCTTTCCCTAGTGTCATGCTCTACTCCCACCCAGATAATTACTTTGTTAGGTTCTAATTTGTCCTTCCATAGTGTCTGTAGGCAAATATGAATATGAATTTCTCCATTACTCAATAAAATGCAGCATACTATCACTCTGTTCTGAACTTCGCTTTTGTTTTTCACTTAACATATTTTGGCAGTGTGTTTATATCAGTGGATTTAGATTTTTAAAAAAGTTGCCTAGTGTTTTGTTTAAATACTTGTGTACCCAATCACTGAATTACTTTTCTATATTTAAAAGGGGGAGGGGCAGAGGGAGGAAAATGAAAAAGAAGAATCAAACTGGGAAGAAAAAAGAGCAAAATATAAGGGAAGAAGAGAAGAAAGGATTCATGTGTTGGGAAATGATAAAGTGTCAATGGCTCTCTCATGAAGATACTGAGTTAGGTCAGTTTCTTTGGTTGGCTACCTCTTGTCTTGGCTACATACAAGTAAATGCTGACATGTAGGCAGATTGAAGTTGCTTGGTAAATAATGTGGTTTAAAGTAGGTGATTCTGTTTGAGTTGTCTTGCTAATCTTGTTGGGTAATGTGAGAAAGAATAATACAGATAAAAGCCCATTAACAACAAGTATCTATAAAATTCATTAAGAGTCAAATTTCAGCTAATAGCTGCCTGTTTTAATCTGTAGCCTACTGGATCTAATAATTCAGTGTGCATAAAAATCCCTTGGGTGACTGTCAAAAAGTTGCTGGTCCCCAGAAACTCTGATTCTGAGAATTAGGACATGACATAGCTTTTGGGGGGCCACCATTTAACCCACTAATGGAACTTCTTGAATGTGGTTTGTGGCTTTATGTCTTTCATCAAACTTGTGATGTTTTTAGTCTTTTTTTCAGAACTACAATCTTTCTGCTCTTCTGCTGGAACCCTGATGACACAAATTTTAGACCTGTGCCATTGTCTCATAGGTGTTTGGGGTCCTGTTTGTCTGTTTTACTCTTTGCTTCTCTCTGTTTAGATTGGATACTTTGTGATTTATGTTCAAGTTCACCGACTGTTTCCTCTGTCATTTCCATTTTGCTATTGAGCTCATTCTGTAAGTTTTTTTTTTTTAATTCAGTTATTGGGGTTTTTAGTTCTGAAATTTCATTTTGGTTCTTTATATCTTGTGTTTTTGCTGTGACTTTATTTTTCCGTGTTTTTTTTTTTTTTTTTAAAGATTGTTTGCAGTTCTTTGGAGCTATGTGTACAATAGCTGCCTTAAATATCTCTGAGATAATTTCAATATCTGTGTCCTCTTGGCATCGATATCTGTTATTGTCTTCTCGTGCAAGCTGAAATTTTCATGGTTCTTCATATGCCTCATAATTTTGGATTCTATCTTGGGCATTTTTAATGTCTTATTAGGAGACTCTTGGTCTTAATTTAAATCATATCAAGAATATTGATATTTTGATTTTAGTATGTAAACAACCTGGTTAGATTCATACCACAATTTTACCCTTCTTCTATGGGGGGTGGCTCCAATGTCAGCTACATTTTCAAAGCCTTTGCAGTGCCATTCAAATATGTCTCATGTATGTTCCATCCTGTGGTCAATCTAAGGTCCAGATGGCAGGTTGTTTGTTCACTTCTCACCATTTTTGGCATCATGACTGCGGTGGGATCCGGGGGGTGAGCTCAGTATTTCATAAACAACTTCATGGGGTTGTTTTCCTGAGTCCTCCATCATCGTGATTTATCTGGTACTTTCTAGTTTCCTGGGACTCCCATTTTTGTTTCTCCAGTCATAAAGCTGGAGCTTTAGTTACCCTATGATACCACACATTTCCTTGACTATGCTTATGTCTGTGACTAAATGGCAGGAGAGAAAGGAAAAAAGCTGTGGGTATCACAGCTCCTATTGAAGAAGATTCTTCTCACTGTTTCAATTTCCTACAGGTCCCATTGCCTCTGCTGTCGCTACAGCCACTTTGGGGTTGCCTGTGGTTTGGGGTGTGAGAGAACAGAGAGAAGAGGACAAAAAAAGGGACAAGAGATTTCCACATTCTGAGTGTTAGGATTATTTTCCCTTTCCTGCTCCTTGAGAATGAGAAGGCTTCTCCTAGAGCTCTGTCTTTCTCATTGATGCCTAGGGTTCAGGCTGCATTGCATTTGGTCAGGAAATACAAAGGGACAGAAAACAGTAAATTCACCAACAGTTCAGTGATACTTGAACTCTGGTCTTCTTTCCCAATGAGGCTGCTCCTGTTATTCAGAGTCCTCAAAGAGTTGCTCTATGCATTCTGTCCACTTTTAAGTGACATTCAGTGGAGAGACAGGGTGCAGTACGTTTGCTCCGCTTTATCCTGGACTGGAACCCTCACAGCTTTCTTCTTAACCTGTGTTCTATACTACTACTCATCCTTTAGGAAACGATGGGGTGGTAGCTACTCTGATGGAAAGACTAAAGGCTCTGTTCTTAGTGTTGTGTGCATACTCCACAGTCTCAGGGCTCCCACTGCCCATGGCATCAAAACCTGCTGTGCGCTGAAAAACCAATTGTTTTATAAATAGTTATTACAAAATGACACTTTATGCGGTCTGAAGGTACATTTTAGGTTTTGTTTTTAGACTAGGAAAATGATCTTACTTTTTGCATTTGTGTTCTCACTGTAGGGTAATCATTCTGTGTTATCACACTATCCTAGGTTTTCCCAAAGGATCAGCCAAAACCTCACCTCAAGCCACGCATATGATAACGTAAGTAACAAGACTCTTTTCTAGCAGTGCGCCTAGTCAGCAGATTCTTGTGGCCAGAAAATAACTCACGGTCATTAATTCCCATGTTCTGCTCAGTATTGTGTTGATGCGCAGCCCCTGTTGGCAAGATGGTTAAGGATCAAAATTTTTTTGGAGTGTGTAATTGCTGTCTCCACTTCCTTTGCTTGTATTCTCTTTGACAGACTTCAGACACGTTCTTCTACCACTCTGTGGACATAACTCTTGTCAAGATCACTGGTGACTTCTGTATTATGAAATTTAGAACTGCAGTTCCATAGTCCCTCATTTTATCTAATTTATCAGCAACAAATGACAAAATCGATCACTTCCTCCTTCTTGCACACATGGCTTTCAGATATCAGTCACTTTGGTTCTTCTCCTGCCTCCCTTTCATTTCTTCTCTATCTCTTTTGCTGGCTCTTCCTCCTCTACTGACCTTTCATTGCTGGAGACCCCAGGGATCAGGCTTCAGACTTCTCTATCTACATTCATTCCTCTGTGGTCTTTTGGTCTCATACCTTGAAATAACCATTCAATTTCTGACAGCCTACAAGTTTGTATCTCTTGTAGCTCAGACCCCTTCTCTAAACTCAGAACTCATATATCCACTTTCCACTTAATGTCTTCTCTTGATTTCTTCCCAGTCTCCACTCTCAACCTGCCCTTCCTGCAGGCTTCCCACCTCAGTCAATGGCCACTCTACTCTTTGCTGCATAGGTCAAAAACCTTGGGTAATAGTGTTTGACATCCACCTTTTTACTTTTACTTTTGCCTTTTACTTTTAAAGTATGTCAATTATCCAGCCACTTCTTACCACCTCCACTTCTGCATCTTAGTCCAAGCCACCATCAGGTGGACAATGCAGTGGCCTCTAAGGGAAGCCCTGTTTCAACCTTTGCCTCCCTTCGCATCCCTCCTGCCCACCTCATAATCTATTCTCAAAACAAAAACTGGGGCATTCTTTTTCAAAAAGTAAAGTCATATTATGTCACTCATTTGCTCAAAACCCACCTATGAGTTTCTTCCTCACTCCATTTTACTCAGTAAATGCCTGAAATGCTGATCTGACCACACCTGTCACCTCTCCAGCCTCACCTCCTGCCCCTCTCTACTTTGGCTCACTCTGTTCCAACCACACTGGCTGTCCCCACTTCAGAGACTGTGAACTTGTGTCCTCTTCAGTAACCACAAGACTCACTTTAGTCAGGCTCTGCTTAAATGCCCCCAATGATGAGCCATTTCCTGACCATGACCTATTAGAGCAGTATTCTACTTCAGTCTCTCTCCCACCCACTACTCTGCTTTTATATTAGAGCACATGCCATTGGATATCTGTTTACATTTGTTGATTGTCTGTGTCATCAGGGCAGGAACTTGGTCTGCTTTATTGCTTTATTAATAGTGCCTGGCAGCTGATAGGTACCCAGGATATATTTGTGGAATGAATAAGGAAAATTCTGAGAAATTTCTAATTATGATTTTAATGTTTTATCAGTCCTGATTTTGTTGTGTCACTGAGTGCCTCTCTGTAGATTTAAGATTTTTTTTTTCCTACTCAGGACTGAGATTTTATATTCAGAGTGAAATAACAGAGAATCTGGCCTGAGCCATTGAATCTGCTTCATTTTTAAAAGCAATATATGTTTTTGGTTTTGTTTTTTTCAGTTTCTATGGGAAATGGGGTGCATTAGGCATAAATCCAGACAAACATATAGTAAATTCTTGCCTTTGAGATAGAATCTCACTCAGTCACCTAGACTAGAATATATAGCAAGATCATATGATCGTAACTCACTGCAGCTTCAAACCCCTAAGCTCAAGCGATCCTCCTGCCTTGGTCTCTGGGGTAGCTGGGACTACAAATGCGAGCCACCATGCCCAGCTTTTTTTTTTTTTTTTTTTTTTTTTAGAGCTGGGGTCTTGCTGTTGCCTAGGCTGATCTTGAACTCCTGAGCTCAAGTAATCCTCTCGCCTCATCCTCCCAAATTGCTGAGATAGACAAAAAAAGGACAAGAGACAAAATAAAGGACAAGAGATTTCCACATTCTGAGTGTTAGGATTATTTTCACTCAGAATGTGGAAATCTGGGCATGTAAGCCACCATGCCCAGCAGAAATGAAGTAAATCTCATAAGTGATGATTACCTAAAAATACTAAAGTAATAATTACAAACAACTTGTTCTTGTCCAGTTCAAAGTATATGGTTCTTGGAATAATGTACTTGGAAGTGTAGGAGTTTAACTAATAAAAGAAAAGCTTAATGTAGAATGTTTATATGAACATGTGTTATGCTTTCTTCAGTTTCTGGAACATTCAAATTCAGTGTTTCTACAGCCGGTTAGTCTACAAACCACTGCAGCAGCACCATCAAACCAGAGTCTGCCACCTTTGCCCAGCAATCATCCAGGTACATGGGACCTTATTATTTGCATCAAATAAGGAAACTTACGAGAATATATGCGTCTGCCAGAGATTCGTTGGTAACTGAAAATAGGAGAAATTAGAGGTACTTCTTTGTATTTTTAAGCTAATGAAACAAATTCAGGGCAGATAGCATTATGACTGACTATAAGAGACTGTAAAAATGCTTGTGTTAAACTTGTGTTAAACTGACTATTGTGTTTTGACTGCTAAGGTAGTTGAGGTTTGGAAACCTTTCTATTATATACAGATTTGTTGAACTTGGGAGTAGCATTGAAACACCAGTCTGTTTTGGTTGTGTTTATTAGGATCTAATATTTGAAGTATAAATTATAAAAAGAATATCAATTACATGTATTCCTCGAAAAGCACAATGTATGTTTACTGGTCTCTTTCTTTGCCTAAAGCGATGACAAAAAGTGATCTCCAGCCACCTAATTACTACGAGGTAATGGAGTTTGATCCCTTAGCTCCTGCTGTCACTACAGAGTAAGTCATTTACAAAATGATTAACTGATTTTTTTGTCTTGGTTCCCTTTGATAGCAGAGCTAACAGTCTTGGTTATATATTTAACTTTGTTTAGGTCTTGCCAGAAATTGATGGCCTTATTAAAAATGCCTTATGAGGTTTTATGGCAGCTGTTACTCTTAATGGTCTTATCGTTCCAGCCGTGTGACTAAAAAATAAAAATGCTGGGGTTGCACATTAAGAAGTAACTGGAACTAACAAGCTTAATGGACTCCTCGTAGATTCCTTGGCAGAAAGTCATGTTCTCTTTAGCTTGAGAAGGGTACTAGTCACTGGTGACGTAAGTTTATGCCACATTGATGGAATATTTTAGCTGCTCTTTAAGAACTGATCCAAAAAAAATCTTATATTAGAACTTGTTTTTAGTCTTCCAAAGCATTAGTATAACAATTACCTTTTACTTAAAATCCTTAAAGCATTATTGTATGATTTCATATTGGGCAAGATATATAAATATTAGTGGAATGGTAAAGTCCTTAGAACTTTAATATACTTTGAGTGACTGAAGGTTACTCCCCAAATTGTTAAAAATTATTAAAGCACATTTTTTGGAAATCATTGTTTGGAAACTAACAGCCTACAGGCTGCATCTTGCTTGCAGTTGGTTTTTTTTTTTTTTGACCTGTGCAGAATTTAAAATGTGCATTTTAAAAATTAATTGTTGGTTCGGGAAACTTTCAACCATGTTTTTCCTTGGCTCTCACACTGATATAACAATGAATGCAGACACTTGTGACCCCCAAATATGTGAGGATTTCTCTCCATCAGCAGGCAAGCAATGAATTCTACAGTGGACACCAGCTGGGTGTCCTCTGATTCAATTCCAACACCATCTACCTGGAGATAGTGTCAGACCCCACAGGTTGAGGGCTCAGTCTCCACCACCCTGACACCTACCTTCCCAGACACTAGTCACAAGTCTGGGCCTCCAAACTTAGGACTGACTGGCTTCAAGTTGGGTTCCCATGCCTTCCTCTTTGGGTTTGATTAGTTTGCTGGAGCAGCTCACAGAACTCAGGGAAATACTTACATTTACTTGTTTATTATAAAGGACATTGCAAAAGATGCAGATGAAGAGGCCATGGAGTTTCCGTGTCCTCCCTGGAGTCCCACCCTCCAGGTACTTCCACATGTTCAGCTATCCAGAAACTGACTCGACCCACCCCAACCCCAACCCAGTCCTCTAGGGTTTTTAATGGAAGCTTCTTGATGTCAGCAGTTCCTTTCCCCAGGGTATAGGGCAGGACTCTCTCTAGGGAGGCTCTTATGACCCACAGTCAAAAAGGTGGGCAATTAGAGTGGTGCCTTGGGGCAGGTGAAAGGAGGACTAGAGAAGGTCAGAGCAATTCTGCTTCCAGAGGCTGGCTCCTAAGGCCTGACACACCCAACATTATAACAAAAGACTGTAACAAGGGCTATGGGAGTTGTAAGCCAGGAACCTTAGACAAAAACAGTATGTATCATAAGACCACAGTTGCCAACAGCTGAAAACTTGGATATTTGAAAATAAAAAATCTGGACTTCTTGATCATTTAGTTACTCTGGCAACACCAAGCCTGAATTTTTACATGCCAGCTATGGGCTGGGGCTGAGTAGTAGCTATCTCCTTTACACAGGCAGGCTCTGCAGCCCTCAGGCCCTGTTACCCACCAGAAAATCCAGGGTTCATTCACCTGGATAGTAACAGATGACTCTTCCCAAGAACACAGGTTTTGATCAATAGCCATTTTATTACTTAGCACAAGTAAATTCTTTAGGGGCCAGGGTCAGAGGGCATTCTTTTGTAACTTCTTCATGTTGATCCAGGGACACTGTATCCAGAGATGTTAGAGGAGTGAAAATCTCTAGGCACTAAAACTAAATATGTTTTAGGGTCTCCCAGGATAGGTCACAAAGGCACCTACAGTTGAAATTTTTCTAATCTAGAAGATACGAATTTTATGAAGAGGTTAAAGATGCAGGGACCAAACAACAGTAGTAAGAGCAACAAAATTAGTGGCCCCGTTAGGGGAAGAAACCAAGTAACACTTGGTATTGCTAATTTGAGAGTTTCTCAAATAGAGTTAGAAGCATGGCTATTAGGCCAGGTGTGGTAGCTCACCCCTGTAATCCCAGTGTAGCAGGACCGAGCTGTAGACAAAACTCCTCAGACACCTAGTTAAAGAAGGAAGGGGTTTATTCGGCCGAGGGCATCGGCAAGACTCCCATCTCAAGAGCCGATCTCCCGGAGTGAGCAATTCCTGTCCCTTTTAAGGGCTCACAATTCTAAGGGAGTGCGTGTGAGAGGGTCGTGATCAACTGAGCAAGCAGGGGGTACATGACTGAGGGCTGCATGCACCGGTAATAAGATCGGAACAAAACAGGATAGGGATTTTCACAGTGCTTTTCTATACAATGTCTGTAATGTATAGATCACATAACCAATTGTCAGAGGTCAATCTTTAACTACCAGGCCCAGGGTGCAGCGCCAGGCTGTCTGCCTGTGGATTTCACTTCTGCCTTTTAGTTTTTACTGCTTCTTTCTTTGGAGGCAGAAATTGGGCATAAGAAGATATGAGGGTGGTCTTCTCCCTTATCAGCACTTTGGGAGGCCAAGGCGGGCGGATCACCCTGAATTCGAGATCAGCCTGGGCAACATGGTGAAACCCCATCTCTACTAAAAATACAAAAATTAGCCAGGTGTGGTGGTGAGCGCTCATAGTCCCAGCTACTCAGGAGGGTGAGGCAGAAAAATTGCTTGAACCCGGGAGGTGGAGGTTGCAGTAAGCCCAGATTATGCACCACTGCACTCCAACCTGGACAACAGAGTGAGACTCTGG